CAAGTTGAAGGCCGAGCATAAGAAAGAGAGGAAGGGAGCGATGAGAGAATTGCGGAAGGATGCCAACTTTATTGCAAGACAGCAGTTACAGGAGAAGAAGAAGAGAGATGAGGAGTATGAAAAGAAGTACAAGAGGTTGGTAGCAGAGATTCAGGGAGAGGAGGGCCATGAAGCAAAAGCGTATGAGAGGGAGAGGAGGAAGAGAAAGGGGAAATTCTAAGGAAACCGGAGCGGGAAGATCAGGGTCTCGCTATCACATGCCGCCTCACGCTTTGTTTTGAAATGTGCGATGGCCTGAGGGGCTTGTTTGCCTTTTATCGGCGTGTTTGAATGCCGTCCAGAACTAGATCGAAGACGACTCCTACAATACTACTGCTTACAACCCCGCTAAGCTTTATATTGGAACTTGGATCGGCTGCTTGGTATCAACCTTGCTGCGGAGTCTACCGGTAGTCATGGAGGTCTTTCCGGCTCCTTCAACCGTTGGCCTTAGAAAAGAGTTTCACAGTCCCTGGACAAACCAAGCATCCGTATGGCTCCCACTCGATCGTCAAACGTTGTTATGCCGACACGCCGTTTCAGATGCGCATGTCCGGTCTCTCTCCGCAGTTTCCAGACAACGTCTACGCTATCTTCGTGGCTATCAAAACACAACAATCGATACTTCGTGCTAAGATCCATCGAGAGGTATGGATCGTCATGCTAAGCAGCACGCAAGAGGCGGCATCAAGGGAATTTCTAACTAGCATAGCATCAAGACAATGGATTGACGCTCGGACTCGAGAGCCACACCCTTTTCCTATTTATGGAGTGAAACTTTGCAAGAGAAAGCCATGACAACACCAAGAAAGTCGGGCTACGGACTTTTCTCGACATGAATCAGGGCTGGGGAGAATCAATGAAAGCGCGGACATTCGGCCATCATGGATAGTCGCAGATGGTTCTTTCCTCATATTTCTGGCATATTCCTCCGTTGTGGCCGACAAAATCGACCGTTCAACCCCTGATTTCTAAGCCTTTGTTGCAGTGAGAAAGCCATGAGGAGTGCAATGCGGCAAGACGGTGGGCGTCAGGGGAAACAGCCAGAGCAACTCACAGAGTCAAGCTCGGGAGACATTGACGATGCCTCTGTGCAGTACCAGGCATACCACGAAACCACAGACGCTAACAACAGCCTCTGTCCAGATTATGCTCTTCATTGCACCACCGTCCGGAGATTTCCCAGTCTCAACAGGAGCATTGATAGGACCGAGCAGTCTAGCAGCACGCTGGCCGAGAAAGAACAGGAAAATGGCCATAATTCAAAAGATCTAGAGGAGACGTACAGCCTTCACGCTCCCGATGCTGTCGGCTTCTTCAATCCTTCTCTTTCTCAGGTTCGAAGTGCTGTGTTCCTGAAGTATTCATGGACACGTGGGTGTCTCTCCAGAGCGTAATTTTACCTGTCCCCCTTGCTGACTTGAACCAGTCGCCCTACTTTGCGTTTTTGTACTTGGAGTCCTTTCCATATACTGGGGAGTCCTGTTCAGAGTACGCGAGAACCTCCGCTCTGCCACCATCGCCGTGGTTGACTTTGACGCAACTTCACCTCCATACGAGACCGTCGAGCCGATTGTCGGACGTTTTGTTCAAGCTGCCATCATCCACGAGCGTGCCTCTCAGAGATATCCGCTGGGCTACGAGTTCCTGGACCCTATCACATTCAGGCACGACCCTGTCGCAGTCCGTTTGGCAGTCCATGAAGAGAAATACTGGGGAGCGATTATCGTTAACAGCAATGCTACGGCGCTCTTGCGACTCGCGGTGGAAAGTGGAAACGTGTCCTACGACCCTTTTGGTGCAGGACAGATTGTGGTCAACCAAGCTAGAGATATCGAATCCTACAACCAGTACATTACCCCCGTGCTGGTTCGACTCGCATCGGATATCAGCTTTGCTTTTGGTCGCGAGTGGACACGGTCTGTGCTCACAAACGACACTTTCGCACAGAGCGTCTACAGCAATGCTCCCCAAGCTTTATCTCCTGGAATTGGCTTCAGTATATTCAACTTGCGACCTTTCGGTAAGTACAGAGCCTTGTGGAATCCTCGTCCGTCGTGATCACTGACGTTCTATCCAGATCCTCCCACGGCAATTCCCGCTGTCAGCATTGGCCTCATTTACCTCATCATCATAGCCTTCTTCTCCTTCGGCTTCTTCGTGCCGATGCACATGAGATTTGTTCAGCAGGATCCCTCCAATCCCCATCCACCGCTGAAGTTCACTCATTTGATTATCTGGCGCTACATCTCTACAATCATAGCCTACTTCCTCCTCTCGTTCTGCTACAGCCTTGTGAGCCTGGCATTTCAAATCCCGTTTTCACGGAGGCCGCCACATGGTCACAGCGACTGGCTTCAGACCGACGTGGCGAATAACGCAAATCATTTTGGCCACGCCACTTTCGTCGTTTATTGGATGTTGAATTGGTTAGGCATGTCTGCTTTGGGTCTGGCTTGCGAGAGCGTTGCGATGGTTGTTGGTCAACCGTGGACAGCTCTGTGGCTGATATTCTGGGTCATCACCAACGTATCAACAGGGTTTTACGCATTGGAATTGGCACCGGGGTTCTTCAAATGGGGATATGCATGGCCTTTGAGGCAGGTCGTATATGCGAGCCGGACGCTGTTGTTCGACACCCGCGATCGACTTGGGTTGAACTTTGGTGTTTTGGCTGCGTGGGTTGGTATTGGGACAGTCCTGTTTCCAATTTGCTGTTGGATTATGAGATGGAAAGGCATGAAGGCCAAAAGGAATTTGGGTTGACTGGGCTTGGAAAGACTGAATCATGGTCGTACGTGGTTAGGATATTAGATCACGATAGAGATATATACTCTTTTGAAAGTAGACGAATACATTTTTGCTTGATTTTACTCCATCATCCATTTTTTTTTGCCATTATGATTTCAGCACACTGTAAAAATAGAAATGTTTTGAAAACAAAGATGAGGTTGAACAATGGAGCAAAAATAATTGATCCTGGCGAGACTTGAACTCGCGACTTTCGCATTCCTCGAAAGAAGTCATACCGGATGCCGCCAGGGGCATACAATATAAGAACGACACGCTAACCACTGCGTCACAGGCTATAGAGGGAAAAGTCAGCGTTGCTGCGCCAACTCTGTGACCGACAGGTGTGGTTGAGAGAAACTCACATCATAAATTTTTTGGAAAGGCGTACCCTGAAAGTGAGGTCATTTTCGGGACAGTTTCAAGACCATTTTTGCGGGGGTTCAGTATATATACTTGTATTTAAAGGCACGTGATTAGCTAATTGGTGGGGGTATATTTTTGGCCCTCCCAGCCTAACCTTGCCTCGCTACGAGCAAAGTAGATCCCTCGCCGTCACATGTACCTGCGACTGCAGACTGGTATCCTCAATTAATGACCGACTCAGGACTCTCTTTCTCTCTCTCCAACGGTAAGAAGCACTAGGGCAAAGTCTTTTATGTTCTGCCTCTCTGTGTGTTCCTCCTCTCGGTAGGGTTCTTGCGCCTCTCTCCGCCGTGCACAAGTTTCCAGAGACTAGCTGCGACAGATCAATTATTCTTTTTTGGGGGTTCGCGTAGGATCATTGACTTTGCGCAGATCCGCTTTGCGACTCCTCTACTACCTTCTTCACAAGTCGCGCTACTTTACATATCTCCCTCACCTCTCTATTCTTCGCGAAAAATGGGCTCTCAACCCGACGCTGAGGCCGGCGCGAGTGCCGACGAGGACGACTACATGAACATGACCTTTGAGGACACGGCGTCGTCCGCGACGACGAAGAACGAAACCCTGACGCAGCGCAAGAAGCGGCTCGCGCGAGAGGCCGAGATCAAAGGCCGGCCCAAGTCCAAGGCGGAGCTGGCGCAGGAGGAGCGCAAGAAGCGGGAGGAGGCGCTGAACACGACGACCCTCGACACGAGCAACAGGGGGTTCAAGATGATGGCCGCGCTGGGATATAAGCCCGGGACCGCCCTGGGCGCGGCACCGCGGACGACGACTGCGGACGGGAGTGGCGGCGGGAAGGACGATCGTCTTCTCGAGCCGATCGGGCTGGAAATGCGCGAGTCGCGTTCCGGAATCGGCGCCGACGCGGAGAAGAAGCGCAAGTTCAGAGAGGAGGTCGAGGCGCGGCAGGAGGCAGATAAAAAGAGGAAGGTCGAGGCGGGCGAGTTCCGCGAACGGCAGCAGAAGGAACGCGAGGAAAAGAAGATGGAGGGTCAAGTCTGGGCGGCCATGAAGGTCTGCGAGAGACTGGACGAGGAGGACGATTTAGAACAGTCGGTCGACGGCAAGCCTGATCCTGCACAGAAGCCCAGAAGGTCAAAGCCACTGAAGGCTGTCAATGTCTTGTGGCGCGGCCTCGTCAAGCAGAGAGCCATCAACGAGCGTGATCGACGGATGAGGTATGACCTCTACCAGTCTCTGTCGAGACGGCCCGACTACATCGACCCCGACGAAGAAAAGGAGGATCAAATGGCAATGGGGAAGAAAACGGAATTGGAAGAGGTCGACGTCGATCTCGACGAGGAAGACGAAGAGCTCAACGAGTTCGAGACCCTCGAAGTATCGGAGAAGTTGTCAAAGCTCGTGGAATATCTGCGGGAGAGATGGCATTATTGTTTCTGGTGCAAATGCAGGTATCCGGACGACAAGATGGAAGGGTGCCCCGGCACGACGGAGGAGGATCACGACTGAGGTTGGGAGTGGTGTTGATCTGTAGTAGAATCTAAAAGGAATCAATCAATCTATTGATCAGTCGGGTAAAGACACGAGCTACGCTTCGTTTGTTTGCCGTATCTCTGTATTATCTTATTATCATATGAGCGCAGACTGTCACGACTTGTCAATCCTTGATAATTCGCCGAACATGAACCGGTCGAGGGACTTCAGCCTCGCCTTGCCTCCTCGAACCCTTGTCCCAAAGATACTTCTTTTCCTCCCCTCCCATCCTACTCGATGCATCACCAGCCATGTCTTTTTTCAGCTCGAACCGCTTCCTGCTGACTGTCCTCGTCATAAGTTTGGGAACGGCGTGCATGACAGTTCCCGTCCTTCTCAGCAGAGTCAAAGACGCGGCGAGGGCGCCACCACCAGACCCTCCACCGCCGGCCAAGCGTCTTCAAAAGGATTCCGAGAACTCGCTCAAGCTCGAGACGCTGCGCACCCTGGCAGACGGGTACAGCTACGACCTCCGCACGTCGGCTATTAAGATCGTCGCGAGTCGCACGGTCCGGTCGCGCACCAGGCATCTATTACTGCGCGACCTGGCCAGCGCGGACGAAACCCGTCGCGAGAACGCCCTCCATGCGCTGCGCATGCTGCTCACGCACCCGGCGCTCAGCGACACGATCTGCAGCCACTTCAGGGACCCCAAGACCGTGAGGGCCATCGTTCTGGGCCTGATCAACGTGCTGCCTCAGCATAAAGTCCCTGGCAAAGAGGTGCCCCTCGACTGGCACACTAAGCAGTGGGTCGAGAAGATGCCGCCCCCGTCGCCCATCCGTCCCCTGGACCGCCCGGCGCACGAGGCGCAACTGCTGGAGATCTTCACCGTTGTGGTCCACAGCCTCTCGCGGCGGGACACCAGGTACACGGCCGTCATGGACGCCGCCTTGGATGCAGGGCTGGTCACCAAATGGCTGGCAAATTATCCCTTCCCGTGCTCTTCACCGGACAACTCCGAACTCAACTTCCGCCGATACGACGTGACCAGGTTATTCGACCGTAATACCTGGCTGTCCGATGATCTTCTCATGGGTGATGTGATCCTGGTGGTCATGCAGTATCCTCCCGCGAGGAGACAGATGCGCGAGGCTGGGTTGACCGCGAGCAGTTATAGAGAGGACATCTTTACGAGCGGGCCCGACCGGGGTCTGTGGTGGAATCAGGGCGCGGGAGATCGCGATCGCGACTGGCAAGATGAGGACGAAGATGCGAACGAGGACAACGACGTGAGAATGGTCAATGGCGAGGACACTGCAGGGCTGGCTCCTCCTGGAAACGGTTCTGTGGGCCATCACGACAACATCACCACGCTTTGGGACGAGCCTTCACGCCCGACGACTACGAGGGCTGCCGCGCGACTACGGTCGGCTGAGCGGAGTCAAGAAGAGGAGCACTTGAGAAGGCGGCACAGGGAAGCCATCGTCGTCGCCGAGCGCGGCACCCCGCTGAGCAGGGAAAATATTTTGCAAAGAGCTAACAGCGAGATTTTGCAGCCCATGAACGGCGTCAGCGAGGTCGAGAGGGAGTTGAACGGGCTGTTGAACCTGTCTGGGTCCTCGAGGGATGCTCGGCGGGATGAGGATGCTTCGGAGCTACCTCACGCAGTCGACTCGGCCGCTGTTGACGCCACCCCGGCTTCCGATGGCGAGGGTCAAGTGGACAAAGAAGAGAACGATGGGGGGGAGGACGAAGGAGAAGAAGAAGAGGAAGAGGAAGACGAGGACGGGGAGGAGACGAATCGCGCTCAACGGCGGCACCGTGAGATCGAGCAATTGATCGAGCATGACCCAGAGATACAGGGCACGAACGAACTGCAGTCCAAGCAGCAGCAGAGCGAGTCGAGCGAGGAGATCGCGGCGAGTGCTATTTCTACGATGGAAGATGACGATGGTCCGAAAGAACACCAAGACTCGTCGTGACGACCAGAAGAAGAATTGGGCGTGGGCCACGACAGATTGTACCACTATTGAGATATAATGTATCTGCTTGATATTCACATGGCGATGGCGTTTAGAAGGGTATCCCGTTTTGACAGAGACACTGCTAAGCGGAAAAAACCATGATGACACTGTGTGTTTGTGGATGAGGGAGAGCATGGTTTAGATCCTGGTTTCTAATACGGTACGGCGTCACTCTCCTCTTCGGAGGGGTTCATGTCAAGAAGCCGTTCCCTTTTTCATTTTGTTGCAGCTTTCTGACTAGTGGGTCATTTCATGCGAAGAGTATGTATGTTTTCGAGCCACACTTTCATCCTCGCAATTCTCCCCGTCAGCGTCCCTGTCTACCGTGATTCCATTGCAATTCGGATGAAGACAAATCCATCACGACTCCCCAACATTTCCGACGTGCGAAGAAAACATGTTCCACGTAGCAACGACCTCCCGCAGCCATGATTTTCTCCCTCTCTCCCGCGCGTTCAAGCCAACACAGTTTGATTGTCTACTTCAAGGGGATGAACCGCGAAGAGTGTGTGGCACCGATACCGGGTCGACCGTGCTTGACGGGCTTGTAACTGATCGAGAACTCGCCCAGGTAGTGGCCGACCATCTCGGGCTTGATTTCCACCTGGTTGAACTCCTTGCCGCTGTAGATGCCGATGACGCTGCCAATCATCTCGGGCACGATGATCATGTCCCGCAGATGGGTCTTGACCAGGTCGGGCTTCTCGTTGGGTTTGGCGTTCTGCTTGGCCTTGCGCAGTTTCTTGATCAGGCCCATCGGGCGGCGCTTCAGGCCGCGGTTGAATCGGCGGCGGGCGCGGGCATGGAGGATTGTGAGGAGCTCGTTCGAGGGGATGTCAAGCAGTCTGTAAATGAGAAGAGCGAGTTCGTTAGTCTTCCAGTTCTGTGTCATTGTGTTGTCTTCCCCCTCTCTTGCTCTCGATGAGGGACGCGAAAGGATGTGTCCAAGGAAGAAAAACGTACTGGTCGAGATCGATGCCTCTGTACGAGAACTTTCTGAACGTTCTCTTCTTCTTGAGCTCGGCGGCCTCTTCGGCATTCTGTTCAAGCAAAAATCGATTAGAAAACCCATCAACTACCTGGATCATCGGCGGGCGATGATGGAAAGAAAACGTACGTATTCGGTGTCGGCCATGATTGCGGTCGAAGGGTCACTGCGCGTTCGCTTTTCGATGAGACTGTCGAAAAGCGAGGAGAGATGGTTGCGGTGGGCAGTGATATTACAGAGACAATTGCAGTCAAGGGCTTCGGGGGGTGTGGAGTTGGATGTTTCCGGCGAAAATTTAGGGCAGTGTGCACCACGTGACCAAAACTCTTGGCATGAATTCCGCAGCGTATGTAGGTGAGGCTTGCGACCGACACGGTTTACTCATTCGTTGTAGAGCACTGTCAAAGTACACAATATTAATGTTTTAGTGGGCTTTTAAGAGCAGGAGATACATGTTTGAATCATGTTGGATCAATTGATTGCATCGAATCTTGCCTCGTTCTACGTCTGGCGGGGAAACAAGTCAAAGATGCGAAGCAGCGACTGCCCATTTCGCGTTGTTTGCCGATGTGGAATTGCTTGACTTGCCCATGCGCGAATAGGCTGTGCGCCCAATGACGGTACAACAGTACTGTCTGTAGGGGCCGTTGCCATCCTCCTCGACCACGCATTCCCCGTAGTTTGGTCGTAGATCGTACATAATCAATTCCCATGGTCTTTTTGCGATTTGACACTTAGTCGAACAGACCGAAGCCCATATCCTCATCAGACTCTTCCTTCTCCTCTTCCTTCTCGGCTGGTTTCTCTTCCTCAGCGGCAGCACCACCGCCAGCCGCAGCACCACCGGCAGCGGGGGCGGCAGCACCACCAGCACCGCCAGTTGGCACAGAGGCGAGTTTGGTTGAGCCCTCAGCAATCAACTGAAGTATTGTTAGCGACTCTGCATGTTGCTGGAAAAGTATCCCATGTTACCTCATTGATATCTTTGCCCTTCAACTCTTCGAGCAACTTGGAGAGACGTTCCTCGTCTGCGTCGATCCCGACAGAGGAGAGAACGCCCTTGATGTCGTCTTCAGAGGGGTCGGAGTTGCCGGCGAGGCCAAGGAGGAGGTATGCTGCAAGGTGCTTCATTTTGAATTTATTTCTTTCCACCCAATGTTAGTCGTCAGTGGGATCCAAGACCTAGACAAACTTACCGAGAATAGAGGAGTTGGCGAACAGGAGAGACAATCGATTTAACCGCTGAATTGAGCGGAGACTGGCACTTCGAGTTCTGGTGATTGTTCGATCGTGGAAAAGTCGCAGGGAAATCGTCTGTTTGCCTGGTGGTGGGTTGTGCGACTGGCGAAATTCCAAGTGGAAAATTGGATTAGGAAAGTCAGCCGGTCCCGGATGCGGACCAGTCGCGAGTCTCGCCAAGCCATTCAAAGAATGTTACTGGGAAAGTGAAGTGGCCACCTGGAGGCGGGGACGAACGACTTTCACCTATTTCTACCACATCATTCCTCGATCTTTCCTCTTTCCCTCCTTCGTGTCACTCGTCAACCACACTCTTCCAAGAGCTTGTATCTGGTATTGTTTGTTACATCTATATGAACCACGTTTCTCGGTGATTGCGCCAGCTGGCAGCGGGCGGAAACAATAATCATGCACAAAATTCGGGCCTTGAATCTTCTGACTTGACCGCCTTCGAGTTTCTTCTAACTCGTCACCCTGCCCCTTCACCATGAGCCTCTTCAGCGACATTGTCAACTCGATCGGTAGCGAAAAGTCTCCAGCACCACCAAAGCCGCCGTCGGGACCTCTCGGTGCGAACGCGCATCGACCGAGTCTCGACGTCAGCAGGCATGGTTCCCGGCCCGGACTGCCCGTGGCCCCCTCGCCTCTGAATGGTACGAAACGGAAGGCCGACGAGAGCTCTTCGAAACCACCTGAGAAGCTTATCAGGCCGAATCCTACACCTGGCTTGTCCAGCACCATTCGGCAACGTCCTATTGCCCCTCCTCTTAACGCTCCAAGACCGTCCAATGGAAACACTGGAAAACCCCTCGCTATGCCCAGACCGAAAGTTGACGCTCAGCTGACCTCACCGAAACCCGGCTCTGCGCCATCCACTCCGACTACTGCAACAACCAAAGGTCCAACGAAGGGCTCGTATGCAGAGTTGATAGCTCGGGCAAAGCAAGCGCAGGTGGAGAAATCTCAACAAAGCCAAGTTGGCCTAATAAAGCATCAAGCAACCAACCGGGAAAAGCCATCGAAACTGGCCGAGAGGAGACGGCAAGAAGAGGAAAAGACAAAGGGTGCAAAGGAGAAATCCAGTGGCGGCCGTCTGGCGAATGGTGGTAAACGGCATGATAAGTCTCGAAGCGTTAGCCCTGCGAAAAAGACGGATCATCCCAAAGGTCCCAAGGCCCCCCGACCACCATTACATGCTCCCCCTTCGTCCTCTTACAAAGGCACCATGGGCACTGCTACCGGTCGCGCCAAACCACCAGCCAAGCGCGGGCCCAAATATGATGAATACTTGGGCACCGACGAAGAAGACGTCTCAGATGATATGGGCGGATATGGAGAGGACGAAGAAGATTATGCATCTGATGTTTCGTCTGATATGGAAGCTGGGGCGTTTGATGTGTACGAAGAGGAGCAGAAGGCGCTCAGGGCCGCAAGGGAGGAAGATGCCCGAGAGTTGGCATTAGAAGCCCAACTGAAGCGAGAGAAAGAGGATCGGCGTAGGAAGCTCATGAGTCTTGCAGGGAGGAGGAAGTGAAGCTGGGACAAGAAACCTATGTGATATCTGACTTGGGACATGACATGGGGACTCATCTAGCTATATTGATATCTTAGCATGGGCGTTGGGGAGTTTTTGCATTCCAGGAAGACACATGGTGTGGCCCATTGCATTCTGTACTCGATGGATATTGTTATTATGCAAGTGTCGAATGCGAGTATTCGCATCAACCAGCCTCTCTTTCGGGAATGCTCCTCTGTGTTTCGTCTCTAGAGTGATGCAGAGCCGATACAAGACCTTGCCTCCAGCAATGCCTTTAATGACCATCACTCGTGATCAGTGAGTCATTAGATACAAACAGTCCAGTTATACTGTAGCGCAATACATAACCAACAGTGTTAAGTCTCGTCATCATTCGACATATCCAAGGACAGCCGCACATTTAATCAGACACCAAACTCTCACTATCGACCCCTTCCACACGATAGAACCCCAGTGACTTCAACATGGGCTTATCGTGAAACCTGTATAAATACACTGGCTCTGACCCTTCGGCAGCGGTGTGCTGATACTTTTTCCAGGCGGGTACGCAGAACGTGTCGCCCTGCTTCCAGTGGAACTTCTGTCCGTCGATCTCGCTGTATCCCTTACCCTGGACGACGTGGTAGACGGACGATGCAGTCTCTCTCACGGCAGGCGACGTGCACCCGGCATTCAAACGTTCGGCGGCACCACCGAGGATTTTGGAAACTGTTGGTCACCCCATTGATGTTAGTCGCTGGATTGTCTGCGGTCTCGGGTGATGGAAAACAGAGGGACAACAATCTCTCCCTTACCTGGTCTTCCGTCGTCCTTCAGATAGTCCTCTTCAGCCCAGTCGCCTTTCTTCTCGTCGAGCTTCTTCTGCATCGTCTTCCACGGATACACAATCGGACTCGTGTTTGAGTCCACATCCTCGGCCGGATATCTCGGCTGGTTAAAGTGCTCGACGAAATGTACGGGGAAATGCACGAAATTTGGCAGATCCAGGCCGTCAAGCCAGATCATAGGGCCTGACCCGTCCTTACCGTGGTCGTGCCAGTTCCAGGTCGGCGTGAGAATAACGTCGCCACGCTGCATGGTGATGCGTTTACCGTGTACCGCAGTGAAGCCCCCCTGGCCCTCGATGATGAAGCGCATAGCGAACGCTGTGTGTCGGTGTGCGCGGGCGGTTTCGTTGGGCATTACCAGCTGCAGACCAGCGTAGAGCGTGTCTGTGGTGAAAGGTGCATCTGTGAGAGGCCAGGCAAGTCAGTATACGCATTTCATCTTTTCCTCTTTTCTGTCGACCAACAAGTCCCCGTTGTAATGGGAGAACAGAACACCATACCTCTAGCGGGATTCACCAGCATCAGCACCCGTCTCTCAGCTTGCTGTTCTGTGACTATTTCCCCGGCCCTGAGGAGACTTGGTCGGACCTCGTCGTATCGCCAGATGAACGGGACACACTTTGGGTTGGGCTCTGGAGGGTTCAACCGCGCCATCTGTGTCCAGAGGGGCTTGGTATTGACCTTGAGAGCATTTTCAACTAACTCTTCGTTGGGATCTGCCTTTTGTCCCCATATCGGAGGAAGAGACTCTGTGACCGTTCCAGTTGCAGTGGCCATGTCAACTTCAGACGGGTAGTTGTATGGTTATATCGGGGTATAAATGGCTATGTGGGTGATCTGCTGAACGATAGATGGACGTTTGCTGGCTGTGGTTTTGATGTCGAGATCTACTGACGACGATGGTCGTTCAAGATATACATGGGCTAACTGGCTATTTAGGAAAAGGTCAGCATCCAAAAATGCCGAGATCAAATCACTATGCGTTCCCTCGTTCACCGATCAAACAAACTTGTTAGCGAGAACTTTGGTGAGGAGGAGGACCTCGTCGTACAAGGGGCCATTCCGGCAGTGGCTTCCCGATATACACCCGACCACACTCCCACCACCCGTCTCCTTCCCACACCCACTGTGGGATACTGTGGCCATAGTTGCCATTCCCACGGGGTACAGACAATACAGATGTTGACTTAAGCTTCCCGCGCGCAGCGGTACGAAAGGACGGTGGGTTAACATCGGTAGTGGCTCAGGTGCTGCCTCCAGTCGAGTCCCATCGGCTCGAACACGACTTTAGAGTGGGACGCCATTTGTACAAAGTCCCAAGTGTCTTTGGACAATTTCTTTCCGTTCACTAAAGCACTTGGTCTGGGTCTCCGGGGATCAGATCAACAAAGACAAGTTCCTTTTATTCCCCCAGATTCTACTTCTCGCGCCAACCCGGACCAAATCCTGTCAAAATGGTTGAGATACCTTCCGGTGTTATGGTCAATGGCGAGACCAGACCAGTCAATGGGGTTACACCACCAGTAAAAGAAGACTTTATCAAAATCCCAGACGTGAGTACTCCCTGAAGGCTGGACGATGTGTAATGAGGTCTGATCCATTGAAATAGGTGGCCTCATACCCAACGGGGAGTCTCGACTTTCTCGTCAAGCTGCAAAAGGAAGAGCAAAAGCGGACCAAGGCAATGAGGACTTCCAACTTACTCAACCACGATGACTTTTCCCGAGTGCGGCTGAACATCATCATCGTTGGTGCCGGACTCGGTGGACTGGCGGCTGCCATTAGTCTCTCTAGAAAGGGCCACAAGGTCACTGTCTTTGAACAGGCTCCGGAACTTGGTGAGGTATGATTGTATTTCTTGAATGTCAACTTGTTGTGGCGTGAGGCTGAACGAGTGCTCTAGGTCGGTGCTGGCATCCAGATACCATCCAACTCAAGTCGCTTGCTTATCAAATGGGGGCTTCAACCGTTTTTGGCGTCCAAGATCGTGGAGCCAGAGGATATCAAGTTCCGGCGGTGGGAAAACGGCGCCGTCATTGGTCTCACCAAGCTGGTCCCTGAATTCCAGGACAACTTTGATGCTCCCTACTACGTGGTGCATCGTGCACACTTCCACGACGCCATGTATCAGTTGGCGTTGCAACTGGGTGTCGAGGTCCGGATCAATTCCAAGGTCATCGATTATGACGAAGATACACCTTCAATAACTACAGAGCACGGGGAGTCGTTCTCAGCCGATCTTGTCATCTCTTCAGACGGCGTCAAGTCAATTGGACGAATGAAAGTGCTGGGTGGTGACGACCAGGCGCCCTTGAGGACCGGGTTCGCGGCTTACCGAGCGACGGTGGATGTGGAGGAGATGAAAGTGCATCCAGAGCTCGTCGAGCTGCTGGCAAAGCCAGGGCTGAACTTGTGGATCGGCCATATGAGACACGTCATGACCTACACCATCGCTGGAGGCAAGTCCTTCAACATGGTCCTGTCGCACCCTGACCGCACAGACCCGGCGGATTGGAACCAGCAAAGTG